TACCTGATTGATAGTATGGATGTGGTCAATTGTTGAGTACCCTGTACGAAATCCTGCTTGTTCCTTTGGTTGATTGAATTCTAATGTTTTCTTTACTCTGTTAGCAATTACCTTTGTAAATAGCTTGTATACTACAGAGAGCAAGCTGATCGGCCTGTAATTCTTCAAGTCCTTGTCATCTCCTTTCTTATGTATTAAGATGATGTTAGCGTTCTTCCAAGACTCTGGTACTCTTCCCGTCAGGAGACACCTCGTAAACAGGGTGGCTAGTTTTTCTAACACAATCTGTCCTCCATCTTTCAGCAGATCTGATCTTACCTGATCCTCACCAGCAGCTTTGCCTCTTTGCATGCTCTCCAAAGCTTTTCTGACTTCTTCTATCATTACTGGTGGGGTGTCATCTGGGTTACTGCTAGTTCTTATAGTATTAAGGTCGTGGTTGTCTCGGCTACTGTACAGATCTCTGTAAAACTCCTCCGCTATTTTAACTATCCTATCCACATTGGTAGTTATTTTGCCTTCTTTGTCCCTTAGTGCATACATCCGACTTCTGCCTATCCCAAGTTTCCTCTTCACTGCTTTGACGCTTCCTCTGTTTTTCAGAGCGTGTTCAATTCTCTCCATGATATACCTTCTTACATCGCATACCTTACGTCTATTAATCAACTTCGAAAGCTCTGCCAGTTCTATTTTGTCTGTTGTACTTGACACTTTCATGATTTGACGCTTCTTAATTAGGTTCTTCGTTTTCTGGGAAAGCTTGCCAGTGTCCTGTCTAACTACCCTGCCTCCAACTTCCACTGCACACTCCGTAATGATACTCGTCAGATTATTATTCATTGTATCTACACTAAGGTTGGTTTTCTCATTAAGAGCCGAGTACCTGTTCTGCAGCGACACTCTGAATTACTGTACTTTCCCTCTCAGGGCTAGCTCATTGATTGGCTTCTTGCGTATCAGTTTCTGTCGTTCCTTCTTCAAGTCTAGGTGAATTTGAGACCGTACCATTCTATGGTTACTGCATCGTACCTTGCCAACCACTTCCACATCCTTCACGATGCCTGGGTGTGCACTCATTATAAAGTCTATTTCGTTCTTATTTTCGCCATTAGGGCTCCTCCATGTCCACTTGCGGTTTTCTCGTTTTCGGTAGAAGGTATTCAAAATCCGCAAATTATTGCGTTTTGCGAATTCTACTAGTAGCTCTCCTCTGGCGTTTCTAGTGCCGATGCCATAATCTCCTACTGCTTTGTCTCCAGCCTGCTTCTTCTCTACCTTTGCATTGAAGTCGCCCATCACTTGAGTATACTGTGTTTTTACCTTACTCATTGCCGTTTCCACGTCTTCATAGAAGCTTTCAACTGAAGCGTCATCATGGCTGGTTGTAGGCGCGTAAACCTGTACTACCTTCATCTTGTATCTTTTATTCAGTTTAACTACAATACCTACCACCCTTTCATTAATGCTATAGTATTCCTCTATGTTGCCAGCTATGTTTCTGTGAGTTAGGAACCCCACTCCCAGTTCTCTTCCGTCTCCCAAGCCCCGATAGCAAAGGATGTGCCCATTCTGCAGCAACCTATAGGCCTCATCTGTCCTCCTAACCTCACTGAGCCCTATTATATCCCATTTAACACCCTCTAGCTCCTCGAATAGTACAACTAGACTCCCCTCACTAGATAATGTTCTAGCGTTAAACGTTGCCAAGTTCAGGTTCCAACGGCGGCCTGTCCGGATCCAGAGATTCTTAGCACCCTCTGCTGCGTTGCAGATCTGACCGCCGCCGTGGTCAGTTGCTTCGCAGCTGCTGGGGACTGAGGGCCGTGAGTTACTTGACGTATGCATGTGGGAGGTAGTGGCCAGATACTGCACCAGGGTGGCCAATCCTTCTCTGGTGAGGGAGTGCGTTTCCGGCGGTGGTTACTGGTGAGGCCGCACCCCAGGCCTCTTAATGCAGTTCCATCAACACGCGGGCTTTTTTTTAATCCGGTTGAGAACTGCGCGGCACCGGGATTTGAACCACGGACCTCTTGCATGCGAGGCGGAGGCTCTAACCACTACGTCATCGCCGCAGCCCGTGCTGACCTCTGCCACTACCGCCATCGCCGCTGCGCCCATGCTGAGCTCTGCCACTACCTCAAACTGGGGCAGATGGGGCATGCAATTTTTGGTAGTGGGGGACTGCATTCGCGCACTTCTTGCAATAAACAATAAAAAAATGTATCATTGAATTCACACAGGATAAGATATGGGACCATAAATATTGATGATAGAATCATGCTTGATCTGATGTTGTTCATGGGCCTCCCCAGTATAAGGTGTACTCGTATAGCGATATATCACTGAGAGAAGAACGCCAAGTCAGTGAAAATTTATTAGGGGCGAAGCTTCTTAGGGCGTGGGATGTGCGTCCCCTGTAGCCTGTATGTAGCCACCTCTAGTTTAGTTCTTGCAGTGTTCACTAGATGGCGGTACCATTCCCTGTATGTAGCCACCTCTAGTTTAGTTCTTGCAGTGTTCACTAGATGGCGGTACCGTCTCCTGTATGTAGCCACCTCTCGTTTAGTTCTTGTAGTGTTTACTAAATGGTGGTACTTGTAGCTGATGATGAAAAGATGCAAGATGTTATAAAGTAGAAAGCGGTACTTGTAGTTGATGAAAGACGCGAGATCTTATAAAATAGGAATGATGTCACATATGGCGCGTGTCATTGGTTGAAGGCAATCGTTCGATTTAGTGCGGCGACGTACGCTAGGGGGAGCGATGTAATAAAATCGAGTGGGCAAAATGTACAGAGGATTCATGGTTTACCAGGTTTACCTCCGGAGCTTCGCCCACTCATCATCATTCACTTTGTGGATATGGCGGAATTTTTTTCAGGGAAAGAACGTCCAGCTTCATTAAAGCGCAAAACAATAGGAATGTGGTCCTGTATTCATGTAGAGGATAGAATCGCCGGCAACGTGGAAGGAATTATAATCACGGCACCCATCCAGAGAGGACTGGTGGCGTTTTCTTCTTCATTTCTTCTTCATCACATGATATTGTGTTCTATACGTTTGCATTCTACCGCACTGTTGGACCAATTCTTGGGTGGCAAGGCTTTAGCCACGCAATGTTCTTTTGTTTTTTTTTTTGCCTTGCTTTCCAAGTCTCAGTTTTTGTCTGAAATAAATCGATATGTCTGTTATGAGTCTTAAAACCTGAGTTTTCATTCAAAATTGACGAAGACCTGGAATAAACCAAAAATATCAATAGCTCAGTTGGGAGAGCGTGACACTGACGAGGTAAAGGTCTTTTTTTCGATACCGTATTTTGATGTATGTACGCCACCTCTCTTTTTTATATAATACAATAAGTACAATGATGACGTCGATTCGAGCTCTGAGGCATCGCTTGTAGTACCTAAAAGGTAAAAATAGTGATAACGTGTTGATCCATAGTCAATCGCACCATTAAATTTCAGATACGTAACACCAACACAAAGGTATATGCAATGCGCTTCAATGCACTGTTAGAACACTGCCTTCTGAACGCAACAACAGATTTGCTCAGGTTCGTGTCGATGTTGGTTACCAGTGCTTCACGTAGCGGACGTCGACTGCCGAACACACGCTTACCCGCCCTCTCATGCATATATTTCTTTCTATTCTATGCGATAGCCGCGCCGCGGTGGTCTAGTGGCTAAGGTACTCGGCTGCTGATCCGCAGGGGGCGTGCTCGAATCCCGGCTGCGGCGGCTGCATTTCCGATGGAGGCGGAAATGTTGTAAGCCCGTGTGCTCAGATTTGGGTGCACGCTAAAGAACCCCAAATGGTCTAAATTTCCGGAGCCCTCCACTACGGCGTCTCTCATAATCATATAGTGGTTTTGGGACGTTAAATCCCACATATCAATCAATCTATCTATTCTATGCGATACAAAACCTATGCTTCCGCGACTGTCCGCTGGCTTATCAATAACGGTAGCCACACCATTCCACTACTCCAATCAAAACTGTCTTGGCTCTCTTTCGCATACGTCCATTCGTGGTAATGAATTTTTATTGGAATAACGATCAAAGGTATCAAACTACACGAGTATTCATCCCCTATGACCACTTTTCATTTATACACCCTGATTTATCTAACAGTTTGTATGATTCGCTTCCCTGACAGTGCCATAAAATGCTCGAATTTTTTTGAAGTTGCACTGAAATTCTCAGCAACAGTAGGAACTGTGTAGCTACGGCTGTTACGTGTTACACAAAATAAGATTAATTTTAACCACTGGCCACGCTGAAGAGCGAAGTAATGTCGGAGCCAGCCCAGTCTACTACTTCCCTGTGTTCTGCCGCCACATAGCACAAGCATTGCATTATGCATTCAACCTTGCCAATCTTTCAATGAAGGCAGTTTCGACGTTGTATCGGCACAACCAACGTTCAACAAATTTATTTTTATGGCCTTTATCCTTTAATAAAAGTGGGATTGTTTGGCTTTCCTGTTGCAATCACCTTTGCATAGTGGGAGTGCTGAATCCTACTCGACCTCTCACTGGAAATCACTTGACATGCCAACATCTTTACTTTTTCACTCCGTGCTGTGCAATGCTCCGAACGAAATTTCTCTCCCAAGATGCCTTTGAAATTACAGGTGTACTGTAAGAACGGAGCCATTGATCAATCACTATGCTAATGATAGCCCTCAAAAGACTAGGATGCCTTCGAGAATGAGTAAAGATATGGAAACAACCAATGCTCTTGTGCAGAATCCTGGATTGTATTGTCATTGGTTACTATATCCAAGAGCTCGGTGACCCACAGTATCAACCCTTCAATATTACTCTAGCTTGATTTGCTTTTTTTCGTGGTGACCGACGATGGACCAATTACTGCGTGATCCTGAAGAACTGTGGGTGTCTCCGCGAAACATCGGTTCAGCTCGCACAAGGGCGATATCACGTCAAGCTTAAAACTGCTAAATCATCCTGGAACAACTGCTGTTCGTGCTGCGACTCACATTTCAGCGCCCATATCTCGTAGCGTGCAAGGCCCTTGTAGAGAACCAACAAGCTGGAGATGCACGCCGAAGATACTGTGCCTTCAGCCATCACTTCCTGCACAGTGGGCATGGCGAAGCGCATGGCGTTCCGCATCAGTTCCGCCAACTGGTCCTCCAAGTTCACAGCAAGTTTCCGCATCACTGGCATGCCAACAGCTGAACCAGAGTGCTGCAATAGTTACAATTGGGGGCGTCATCTTGACGAGACGTTGAAAATAGGAGCAATATGAGGGACCACAAGTTTCAGATACTTTCTTTATGTGACGCTCTACTGTGAAAAAAGCAAATAATGGTCTCACCTCAATCATTGTTTTCATGCCATGATTATTTCGGCGCACGCTGATGCACTGGATGTATCAACCTACGTCACATTATAACAATCGCATTCAGGTGAACATTTAAATTACCCATCTTAAAATTTATTGCTCAAATGCGTGGTTATTAGTAACGCCAGTAACCACAAATCCTTCATGGTGGCTTCGAAATTCCCGAGCAATTCGTCGAAACGCGCGCATTTGCGTAAGTTAAAAAACACTGGAGGGTTCCAGACGAGAAGATCTGCTGCATCGCGACCTAAGGGATCCCTTGTCGTGGATCCAGCCCCCATCTACGCAGCTTGCATTCCACCCAATGCGCACGTCAATTCGCCTCCCAAATGAATCTCACTATTTGATATCCAGAATTAGTACGATCTCGATGGGTTAAGTACATCGATAACGTAGATATACACTCGCATAAATTTTGGGGCATACTGTCTCATAAGCAAAGAGGAGCAGTGGAAAGCCCATCGCGGGTCGCTGGGATGGTGTTCTGAGCGCAGATTACGAAAAAGTAAAGTTATAAAATCTTGAGGTCGGGAAACTTGAGGGACGAGAGGAAGGCGGGCTAAAAAATTTGCAACATCAGCGCTGACTTACAAACGTTTAGGTGGCGCGTATGCGTGCGGGAAGGCTCTGCTTGCTTTTTTCACTGGCCTCTAGCAATAAATAATGTTGAGTTAGCTCTTTCATGGTAAGCAAGTAGGCAAGTAAGTAAGTAAGAGCACGTTACGTACAGTAAGCACATTTCAGAGCTCACTCAAGGTGCAACGGCTAAAGGCAATCAGCCTGGCAAAGGACCTTGTCCCTCCGAAGTTTCTGCTAAGCTTCGATATGAGCACAGACCGAAACGGATGAAAATTTATAGATTTGTTGCATAGAAATCGACTACAAGTAGCTTGCAAGCGTACATACAAACTCACACAGAGACAAACATAGAAAGTGTACATAACATATTTGCAAAATTAGACGTAACTCACGTAGATGCATAACCAAGTAAAATTGATGAAAAATTCAAACAGTGAGAAACACATTGTACATACAGATGCACTGGGAATTAACTGTAAAATACTACAACCCAATAAATATTGATGAATGATTTCAGGATTGGTTGAGGCATGCAACTACACTTATTAGTTTTGGAGTTTTGATAATATGTACCGGTAGTTAGTAACAAGTTCATTATTTCGTAAAGGCTGCTTGGCGAGCCTTGAAGTTCAATTTATCTTAAAGAGCTAAGGTGTTTGGTATGCAACTCTTTTTTTCGTAATTAGTTCATGTGCTGGGTACTGGCTTCTTTTCTTAAGGTAAATCTTAGTGCCTGGTTTCGGTACAGCGTTCTTCGTATAACTTATCGTTTTTAATTAACTGCAACGATTTAAAGCAATGGAATTGATTCACCCTGAGCATGGAATGATTGATTAATAATGGAGCAGTTCACAAGTCTTGCATGCTTCTTCTGTATTTTTTAAAACCTTGCAGTATTTTCTTGTGTATAGTTATTAGCGTTTGGTAATTTGTTTGCGATGTTGTTCTTCAGACTAGCATCTCATAAGGCACTTTAGAATGAAAAAGCTCGTAGTACATACTTTTCTTAACCTAAGTGGAATTAAGTGCATTGTTTTATGGAAACAACTAACTATTCGTGCCAGTGTGGTAAATAAAGAATTTGCATGCGTGCTCTAGATTAAACCTCCTAAAACCACACGCCGAGAAAATTTTGTTCTGTAATATGTGCAATGCAATATCTTTCACAATTGCAGGTATGTTACTAATAGGTTTGTTTATAGACTGGATTACCATATAGGTTGTTTCTTTTTCGCACACAAGCTCAATATATTTTGCTGTAACTAATTTGAGAAATGATTGATTGATTGATATGTGGGGTTTAACGTCCCAAAACCACTATATGATTATGAGAGACGCCGTAGTGGAGGGCTCCGGAAATTTAGACCACCTGGGGTTCTTTAACGTGCACCCAAATCTGAGCACACGGGCCTACAACATTTCCGCCTCCATCGGAAATAATTTGAGAAATGGCTTAGATAGTTATTTCGCTTACTTCAAATTATATGAAATTTTCTGGTGTTAAGGAAACATTCGCATTTTCAGCGTACATAACAAGTTCAGCGGAATGAGGTATATTGACATTAATTATAACGTTATATAAGCAAGGAACAATACTAGCCCCAGGGTGGGCCCTTTTCTAATTTGTGTCAGCACTTGTTTTCGCATTAAAACATAGCGTAAGGTAACCGGATTCAAACAAATTCACAAAAAAACACTGGGTAGAAAAAGTGACAATAAGATTAATACGTTTACTTGACGAGAGACGTCATAGACTTCTTTCGTGACATGTCACAGAGGGGCGCCACCGGCACACGTCTTAAGTAAAGCGGCGGTTGTCAGAACAACTCAGCTGTTTGCTCAACATTAATTGTATACTCGCCCGGTGCTTTGTGCAAGCTTTTTCAGCGAGGGCTCTTATGAAATCAGAACACGGGCACGTGCGGCGTCGTTGTCGTCCGCCACCGCTGCGTGTGTCCGTAACCACTATCGCAAGGAATAAGAAAAAAGTCTGTAAATATCAAACATAAGAGACACAACGGGACTCAAACACGGGCCCGCCGCTCGTCAGCTCAGTATTCTACTACTGAGCCACGCCGGTGCTTCAGACTTGTCTACAAACTTGCCTTAGTCAGGCTTAATGTCGGGAAAGTAGTGTTAATGTGATTAATAAAGCGTTTTAGAACATGAAAGGGACTACCAGGCGTCGCACAATGCGAGTTGTTTGACGAAGGGGTCCTCCGATTCTCCCAGCCATCACCAAAGCTCGTTCTTGATCACCTAATAACTGTGTCGCATACCCACATCAGACATAATTCTTTGCCGTCGACAGCCACGTCATAAAAAAATTGACAAAAATTTTAGCAAGTGTGTAGCAGATACAACGCTTGTCCAAAAAAGTCATGAAGGATATATCATGATGAATGCTAGCCCACTGCAGAAAAGTTATGAACATTTATAGCTTTGTGGGTACCGAGCAAGTGTGTTTGTAGCAGTCACCCAAAGAGTGTTTAGCAAACGCTCTGAAAGGCCGCTTGGCCAGGTTTTGCTGTGACTGCTCCACGTTCTGCGCAGGCCTAGTGGTTGTTTTTAAATGCGAGCTATTTCTTAACAAACTTCGGTGAGTTTGACGTATCTTCGGCGTATCTATCTATCTATCTATCTATCTATCTATCTATCTATCTATCTATCTATCTATCTATCTATCTATCTAGCTGCCTACGACTTTTAGCTCCCCTGGCCGTTTGGATAATGGTATCTATAGAAAAATTTGTATGACGTAACAGGACTGTATGAGGAGCATAAGTGACTAGTCATAACATGGATTTCTTGACATGCAAGTCATGGCCATCCTGCTACAGCGGTGGTTTTGTTCACATGGCATATCGCAAAACTGACATGGTATGACATGACTGCAAGGCAAACATAAGTGACAGGCCCTCACGTGAAAACAATGACATGCGTGTCATGTAAAAACATGATTACATACCCCGCTCACGATGCGCTCATGGTCTTTTCGCTAGCTTCACATATACCAAATTTAGTATTGCGTGACGTCAATAGAAGGTGAATGTATATGACTGGTTCAAACATGATATTTATGACATGCGTATCGTCTAAAACATGACTTTTTGCTACGCTCATGGTACACTCATGTCCATTTTGTTAGCTTCAGATACACCACATTTGGTTTGCGTGACGTGAGTAGATGACGAAGGTATATCACTGGTGCAAACGTGATAATAAATATTTGCGTGTCCTGTAGGAACAAGGCTACATGCCACGATCATTATGCGCTCGTGGTCGTTTCACTGGCTTCGCGTGCACCAAATTTGCTATTGCGTGACGTGAATGGATGACGAGCACATATGCCAGGCGCATTCATGATAATCATGATATCGAAGTCATGTACGGCAAAAAACACATCCGCCACGTAACGTTGTGCTCATTTTAGTGTGACAATTCAAACGACCTCATTCGTGCTTCGCATATTATTGATTCCCATTGTACGTGGGATATACCCATTTTTGGAACAGCTTAAACTTCCTCCTGTTGTGGTAAGACTATACCTCTGGTATGTATCAGAGAACACTTAAGTGTGTGGTAAGCTACGTGAAGGAAAACTTGCCATGCATTCTGGCTCTTTTCTTTTTTTTTTTTTTTGAGAAGTGAACACATGTGGAAGCCTGCGTGAGGAACAGCGTCATCACCTTCGCAAATGTGCAGTATATTATTGTGGCACATTGTCTGAGTTGAAAGGCATCGACAACGCTGGTTCACTTTTGATTGGATTGATATGTGGGGTTGAATATCCCAAAATCACCATGAAAATATTAGAGATGGGGAGTTGAGGTATCCGGAAATTTCGACCTCCTGGGGTTCATTAGCGTCGACCCAAACATCAGTACATGGGCGTACACAACATTTTTGCCTCCATCGAAAATGCAGCTGCCACAGCCGGGTTTTAATCCCACAACTTCTGGTCCAGCAGCTTAGTACCTTAGCCACTAGAGCACCGTGTTGGGCTTCGGTTCATAAACATTCATTGCACTGAATCGAAAGAAAACAAGGATAGTTTTTGCCTTTCAGCCGTCTCAGGTGAATCTATAAGGGGACTGGCGAGTTTGTTTGTTTGTTTGTTTGTTTGTTTGTTTGTTTTTGTAATGAATAAGAAATGAAAAAAACACAATCTGATTTTCTTTCCGTCAGATATGCAGAGTGTTAAACAACAGTATTATATTGTGAGGCATGCAAATAATTTGGTTGCAATAGCTTGAAAAAGAAA